ACATTGATCCTAAACTTAATAAGTAGATATTTTGTCTCGAGGATGAGAACTGCACAGAGCATTAGGACCATTTGTTTACAATAATTTATAAGTATAAGTGACCTCACCTTATTTACATGCGATGCTCAAAATGGTATATTGACACTTGTACAATTTTATAATCGTCGAATCAATGAAATCAACGGTATTACTGAAATTGATTGCGCACTAATTACACTAATTACATGCTTGTAGAAGTTGCTGTTTCATATTGTTGTTGGTACTTCATTACATACTTCTTTCTGTAACGTGTCCCATAAAAGAAATAATCTAATGACGTCAGATCGGGCAAACGAATTGTTCTTCCACTTTCAAATAATATTTACGCATGAACAACGAGCCAGGGCAATCGTCATGTTGGTACCAGTGTATTGAACGAGTGTGTAAGGACATCTTTCAGCAAAGTTTGGAATTTTTTAAGTAATCAAATGGTTTCTAATAACGTGCGATTAATCTGCTTAATTTAGACTAATTTTTAACGATTCTCTTTCCGTTGAAACTTGACATGGGATATAAAAGTGGCTGTTCCTAACGATTTAGAAAGATCGGAATGCTTACACATATGAAAGTTAATCGTACAGATCGCTAAAATTCACGCGTTTGCTCGATGCAATCGCTTTATGCGTGTGAAAACATATGTAGATGCATGCACTATAGATTAGTTACACTATAGATTAGAACATCGTTACGATAATTGATCAAATCGAAAACTATTTGTCTCGTAACTGCAAAATCATCTCGTAACTGCGATATCTTTCAATTTTTATTGTTATATCAAGATCATGCGGGAATTCTATTACTGTTTCTTGATTTGTGCGTTATTAGAATGCAAATTCGTTGTCATAGACGATAAATGCTGACGATTTATTATCATAATCAAATTCCATGCATTTTATCTGAATCCGAAATGAAACGCGAAAAATGCATACAGTTACGCCGAAAAAAGAAAAAAAATTCTTGACAAAGTATCGCGGGATGGTACAACGTGTACGTATAAATCATCCGCAACGAAGTTGATTTGCATTTTCTATTTAAAATTTAAATGACTAGCCTTCCTTTATGCCTCGAGATTTATGCGCGATTGTGCACGTAAAAAACTGAGCACGCGTATTGTTAAAAAAGAGTAATCGCGCTTCTATTTTTGTTATTAGAATTTTTGTTGTTCTTGTACAATCGTATCGACAAATTATAATAATGTATAATTTATTACAGTTTGTAATTTCAATGTAATTTCCAGCTTGCCAAAAATATCTCGACACGCGACTGTATGATCTGTCTTTTCACATATATGGTGGAATAGAGGCTAAACGTGGCGAATTCCCGTACGTAGTGGCTTTAGGGTACGAGGAGAAAAATCTTTCATCCATCAATTACTACTGCGGAGGTAGCTTGATCTCCGTTGAACACGTGTTAACAGCAGCACACTGTGTGAACAACATTTACAACAAAGTGCCAATAGAAGTGAGTATTGTTGTGATATCGAGCTTTAGATTTAATATTAACGCTAGAACTACCAAAGTGGTCAAAATGTCTAATTTCTAATTTTCTATGAAAGTTTTATATATTTATAATACAGTGTATTTTTAGATAATCGAGTGATTTTTTTAACAAAATATATTAGTAGGAATTTTGTATTCTTTATTGCATTATGTTATAATACAATTAGTATATTAATATATAATATAACATTATAATATATTTTCTATATTCTAAAATATTATATATTATTATATATTATGTATTAATATATATTCCTTGTATTCCTTATTGCATTATGTACAAAGTGTATTATTTTAATATATTTCTGGTATACCTTGCACTTTAATTTCTTTGCTACAAATATATTATACTATGTATATTATATTATACAAATATATTATATTATAATATATATTCCTTGTATTTCTTATTGCATTATGTACAAAGTGTATTATTTTAATATATTTCTGGTATATCTTGCACTTTCTTTGCTACAAATATATTACTTTTTCGTCGATAGCTCTATTTCTGTTAATACTAAGTTTACGGCATCCATCGATTTTCTGATTTTACGAGCAAAGTTGAAGCAATTTTTGCTGACTTTTGTCAATAGAATACACATCCGACATATGAAATATCGGCAGAAGACGTATATTTTCTCAAAACCTTTAATTTTGAAGTTTTGTATATATCCAACACCCGTCAAATTGGCGGATCGAGCAATTTCACAAATAATCCCAACAAATTTGTTTCATTTCATTTGTGAAATTGTTACTTCAGTATTAAATATAAAAGCAGAAATCACAAGATGGATTTTTTTACTATTTTGAAAAAAAGATTTGATATCTCAATACATTAATAAATTGAAATAAAAAATATCCGTAAATCTAGTGTTTAACAAACTTTGTCAATTCTTCATATGCTGCGTCCACTTGTTCCAGGTACGATTAGGAAACGAAAGTATAGACAGTAACGCGACGAACGTACAACGAATTCCGATAAGTGACATAATCTGTCACCCAAAGTACAAGCACAGCTCGAGTTACAACGACGTCGCCATTTTGAAGTTGAAGACGAAGGTGCTGCTTTCTAGCCTGGTCCAGCCTGTCTGCCTTCAAACCCAATCCTTAAATCCATTGACCATGACGCCGAAGATGTCATTGATAGTGATTGGTTGGGGCGGCACGGATTTCGGCGAGTCGTCCTCCACCAAATTGATGAAAACACCTGATCTCAGGTATTACGATTCGAAGTTTCCTATATGTAATTTAACGAGAATTAGACGAGGGCATTGAAATTAATAATTTTAATAAAATTTAGCAATAGCGGTTATACTGCAATTTAAAGTAAGTTAATAATTTGAAAATTTTGTTTCAATTTACAAAACACGATCTTATATGAAAGATGTAAGATCGTAAATTAAATACAATAAAATATTATTTTAAATACTATATTGTACATAACTATTTTAAATACAATAAAATTTTTTTTATTATTTTTTTCTAATATCTTTAAACGCAATAAAATTCTAAAATACAAATGAAATTTTTAAAGATCTCGCACAAAATCCTATCTTACATAAAATTATTAATTTTAAGCGAAGTTTTAATCATAATAGTAATAATATAAATTTATAACTAGAAATGTATCGCGAGTATTTTCTTTTCAATTTATTTGGGATTATTTTATTTCTGAAACAGCTAGTAAATATTAATAATAAATTACAGAATCGTTGATAAAGAAGAATGCACCAAGCACTACGAGGGATTTCGAAAGCTACCCTTCGGCATAGGCGACAGCATGATCTGCGCGGTGGATCCGAATCGCACGAGAGGGGCGGACGCCTGCCAAGGTGACAGCGGAGGTCCACTGTTGATGTTCACCGAGAAAGGCGTAAGAGTGCTCGGTATCACGGCTTTCGGGCAAGGTTGCGGCGGTCCTATTCCCGGTGTTTACACCATGGTGTATTCCTACCTAGATTGGATCGAAGAGCAGGTGTGGACGAGCAACAAGGAGAGCAACAAGGAGAGCAAAGAAATCATAAAGACAGAGTTTATCAATCCTATTATTAACATCACGTTCACGCATGAATGAGACATCGCATCTTACGACGTGTCGGCGATGATCTTCGCGTAATGGAATTTAATTTTCAGTCGCAGATCTGTTCGATTTAACACGTCAAGTATATATGCGTATGTTAAAAATTGAAAAACTTCAAGATTGCTTCAAGAAAGAATATAGTTAGCTGAATATTGCTTTTATTGACATTTATTATACAAACAGTGTACAGTATAATAATGCAGTAGTAATTTTACTAGCATGTTGAATGCCACGTTAATCTTACAAGACGTCAACATGAATCTGTTATGGATTTATTTTACTAGGGGTCACTAGAGAAAGCTATACTATGAAATGAAATAAAAAATGGCATAGGAAAAGCCAGGGTAAAAAGATTCGAAACAACTAGGTAGAACGAACGCAAAAAATTGTGCCAAAAAAGTCGTCACATTGTTTGCAGTATTTTAATACGACGTATCACAATAATATTGCGCGAATAATATTTACGCATGCACATTATAAGTAAAATTATTTTTCTGTGTTCTATACTGCATTAATTTCTTCACACCATCGATAACGAAGCTAATATTGAAAAATTTAGGATTAGTATTAACATTCACCTGAATTATCTGTCTCTATTAATCTTGGCATCACCAATCATGGCATTCGACGTGTTCAAACAATTTAGGCAGTTTTTGCACCCATCACAGAATGTTGTAACTTTCTTAGTCCTAGTTTCTACTGATATCTCTTCCCAGCAGTGTCGCATTTCCTTCGTAACAACTTTTACAAAATTTTCCCTTTTCACTTGGGATGCAGGTAAACAAGTAATACTTGACGTGTTAGTTGAACCTCGAGCCACTTTCAATATCGAATTGTTAGAAAATTAGAGTAAAATGATTTCGCTCGCCAATTGTATGCAGGCTAAAGAAAATTTTAGACTAAAGTCTGGACTATAGTCTCGAGTTGTACCACCACTCTTGTGTGCGTGTGCCATCGTTGCGAGAGAGAAGGAAAGAACGATAGGGGATAAACATTAACAAAACCCTCTTTTATTTATTCACATTCTGTACAAATGTTATTTTACACAATGTCATGATAATATCAACCGGCCCGATTCGTTGCCGGCATATTTGTGT